GTGCGAAACGGAGGCATTTATTCCTTCCTTATGCAAATTTTCAAAGAGATTCGAGGTTCGCTGATTGCCTGTTTTCATAGGCCAAACCCATAAAATCGTATTTCATTGGATAACTCAAAGAATCACGAGAGGAACAAGTGCCAATCACGAGCGGCTTAAAGATAGACCCTCCTACCGCCAAAATGTTTGAGTGACACCCCACAGGACACAGTTCCTTTGTTCATTTCCCGCTATTTATTTTCGTTTAAATACAATTTTGATGAAAAAGACAAAAATATTATGCATGATCGTGTAATCTGAAAACTCCTTTTTGAAGGGAAGTAATTTTTTTTTTTTTTTAACCAGGAATAGTCCCATTGAGTTACAGTAACTCTTCTTCCAGGGAGTCCTGGCCAAAATAGGCGGCCAAAAAGTTGCAAAGAAAAAACATAAAATAAAAAATAAATAAAAAACAGGACAAAAAATTACATACTACACAACAAATCTCTATACATAGACTATACTTGTAGACATTTTGTTTAACTTAAGTAAATACAAACATATAATTTAAAGGGTACCTAGTTAAAAACAATTACACCGTTCAGTCAAAGTTGACTTTAAAAGGTTTTTAAAAATCTGAATAGATGGAAGTGATTCTAAATTTAAGGTGTTTTGGAGTTCATATATAAATAGTCTCTGGTTCATTCCAGACATTTGGTGCATATGATGAAAAAGCTTTTTTACCAAATTCTGTTTTTGTTGATGGAATAATTAATAATATTTTTTTTGACGACCTTGTTCTGTAAATATTGTTTTGGTAAGTAAGTAAATTTGAAATGTAAATTGGTAATTTACCCATTAGTGCTTTGCCAATAAAAATCAATAGATGAAATTTTCTTCTGAGAGAGAGGGAGGGCCATTGTACAGTTTCATACAGAGTGCAATGGTGAGTCCTAGCTGTTGCATCTGTAATGAAACGTAAGGCAGAGTGATATAATACATCTAGTTTTTTTAATAAAAATGAGGTAGAGTGCATATACATTAAATCACCATAATCCAAAACTGTTAAGAATGAACTCTGCACCAACCTTTTCCTTGCTGAATAAGGAAAGCACCTCTTTAATCTAAAATAAAAACCTAACTTAGGTCTGAGTTTTCTTAAAAGGCTCTCAATATGGACCCCAAAAGACAATTTATCATCAATCCAAATACCTAGGTATTTGTAAGAAGTCACTCTCTCTATTGGAGTACCACTTTGTGTTAAAATAGTGAAATCCATAGGAGAATGTGAACGTGTAAAGACCATTAATTTAGTTTTTTTAGCATTTAATACCAACTTTAATCCTACCAAAGATAGCATAGCATAATAATAGCAACGATAAGATCCCTTTAAAAATAGCTTTCATACCAGAAAGTCTTTCAAAGCAACTTTACCGCTGACATTTCACTTTTATTTTCACCATATCTTTTGTATTCTTGTTTCTGTAAATCATTTTAAATTCCAATAGGTGGTGGATCTCCAGGAAATGTTCTTCAGAAAGAAAAGTTAACCGAATTCCAATTTTTGTGTGATTTAATGCAATTATACGGCGTTAAAATAGGCACCTTATATTCATTAAAGAAAAGTCAAAACTATTCTTGCAGAATTATCATTCTTCCGTGAATTATTCAGAATTGTATAGTTAACTTACAAGACCGGCATTAATCTTTAACACTGATGTGGCAAGACTCTTTATGTGTCAGAGTGTGTGGCTCTTAAAAGAGCCGTTGGGTTTGAGTAGTTTCTTCTGATTTTAGGCGTTTATCCCCCGAAGCCGTACAGGGTGCGTCCCTGTCTCTTCAGCGCGTAGACAACATCCATGGCGGTGACGGTCTTTCTCTTGGCGTGCTCGGTGTAGGTGACGGCATCGCGGATCACGTTCTCCAGAAACACCTTCAACACTCCGCGGGTCTCCTCGTAGATCAGCCCGGAGATGCGCTTGACCCCGCCGCGGCGAGCCAGACGACGGATAGCGGGTTTGGTGATACCCTGGATGTTATCGCGCAAAACTTTGCGGTGACGCTTAGCGCCTCCTTTCCCGAGTCCTTTACCGCCTTTGCCTCTTCCAGACATGTTTCACAGACAGCAGTCAAACGATGATTACAAATGTACAGCTCAGCGCTGCAAGGAGGCCTTTTATATTTACTTACAGGACCTGATAGAAACCAGCGCCGCGTCACAAGACACAAAACGCCCCTCCCCTCAATATAGTTCCAGCACAAACCAAATGTGATGTAACCCAAAACCATAATCTAACGAGGCCGGTCCGACTTCTTTCATGTTTTATAAGATTTATTTCATTTGATGAAGAGGATGTTATAATATCCTCATATAATATGCAGAGATAATGGTGATGAAATGTGCTAGTCTAGAAGGACGGTATAGTATTTTTGTTATTAGACAATTCGGATATATTTGCAGAATATAAATGATTTCAGGCCTCAGTGGTTTAAACTGTATGTCTAAGTTACCTTTAGCTGAACTTGCACCTGTATGCCACTATTAGGGAGTAGCTGGAATAAAAACAAAAAGTTGGAAAAAAAACAAACCACTGCAGTCTTGTTTGGGAAGACTGTTTTAAGATGATAAACTGATAGCACAGCATTTAAGTAAAAAAAATAAAATAAAAAAATTCTCTAGACATTAAAAGAAATAATCGCTTTTATTACATACAAAAAATTCATATTTCCTTATGTCCAAGTATTTTAGGGTTATGATTATATTTAATTCTGATAGTAATGGTAACTGATAATTTAGAGAACGGTGGCCCAGAGTGTTAATGTAATGCATGAACGTAACTTTATACTCATATTGAGATAAACTGAAAATGATCTCGTTCAGTGCAGTTTTGGTGGCTCTTAAAAGAGCCGTTGTGTGTTGACGCAGACGCGGGTTTAAGCGCGCTCTCCGCGGATGCGGCGGGCCAGCTGAATATCTTTGGGCATGATGGTGACCCTCTTGGCGTGGATGGCGCACAAGTTGGTGTCCTCGAACAGACCGACCAAATAAGCCTCGCTGGACTCCTGCAGGGCCATAACAGCGGAGCTTTGGAAGCGCAAGTCCGTCTTGAAGTCCTGAGCGATTTCTCTCACCAGCCGCTGGAAGGGCAGTTTGCGGATCAGCAGCTCGGTGGACTTCTGATAGCGGCGGATCTCCCGCAGAGCCACGGTCCCGGGCCGGTAGCGGTGAGGCTTCTTGACGCCGCCGGTGGCCGGAGCGCTCTTACGGGCGGCTTTAGTAGCGAGCTGCTTCCTCGGGGCTTTACCACCGGTTGATTTACGAGCTGTCTGCTTGGTTCTTGCCATTGCTGCGGGCTTCTTCTCTTTGTCCTGCTAGTGCTGGAAATGCTGTTTTATCTTCATACACCCGCTTTTAAAGCATTGTACCGCCACGAGCTCATAGTGTCGCGAGGATCCAGACCTTGTGATTGGCTAATACGTGACGTCTGCGCATGAGTGCCAGCCAATGACTGCGCGTTTCCTCTTTTTCAAACAAGTGGAAGGTTTCCCGCTCGAGCTGCTTTGTTCTGTTGAATACTTCATGTACACCACACAGTGTATATGACACCTCCCTGGTCTTTATACTCACAATGTTGTATTTATTTGTTCTGAAATACTCGCCTTAATTCACAGTGGTTGTGCAGATTTCGGATTAGAACAAAATCACATTACAGTCTGTATAAAAGCACTGCAGCGAGACACACTAGGGTGTCCATCCGTCCCGTAAAAAAGGGGATCAAAGACCCCGAGTAACATTGACCAATTTCTGTTACCATGAAGCCGAGATGTGTATATTGCTTTTTATTTTGGATAATTTATTAAAATATTCAATACATTATCAGAGCTTGGTAGACCAACTATATTTTAATATTAAGGGAAATGGGTTGGGTGACAAACACACATTAGGGGACCATCATGTGCTTATAACAAACACGCACACCTACGACTGTAACCGTCGATAATGCAGAGCAATCATATTTTATTGGTTTGATGGGTCATTTTCTCCTTCAACCAAACGCCTTTATGGTGTTTATAAATATTAACAAAGAAAATCACTCTCTATCAGATAAAATGGGTGGCTCTTAAAAGAGCCTTTTGGTTTAAACAAAACAAACTCGAGATTATTTAGATTTGGAGGGTTTCTCGGTCTTCTTGGGCAGCAGCACGGCCTGGATGTTGGGCAGCACGCCGCCCTGAGCGATTGTCACTCGGCCCAGAAGTTTGTTGAGCTCCTCGTCGTTACGCACCGCCAGCTGCAGGTGACGGGGGATGATGCGGGTCTTCTTGTTGTCCCGAGCGGCGTTTCCAGCCAGCTCCAGGATCTCAGCGGTCAGATACTCGAGCACCGCCGCCAGATAAACAGGAGCTCCGGCACCGACGCGCTCGCCATAGTTTCCTTTGCGCAGAAGCCTGTGAACACGGCCGACGGGGAACTGTAGGCCCGCCCTGGAGGAGCGAGTCTTAGCCTTCGCTCTGGCCTTACCACCGGTTTTGCCTCTTCCACTCATTATTTTTAAAATATTTACTTCAAACTTCACTGTCAAAATATAAGTGATTGAATGAAGTCTGTGTGCGTGTGCCTCCGGCTTTAAACCAGAGTGCCAGTCGCCGATTGGTTTAGAGTCTGGAAAGATTTAAACCAATCACTGAACTTCTCTCCCCATTCTAGCGGGAATTATTGTGCACTATTTGCACATGCATGCACTAGTATTTGTGAGTGTGAATAATAAGAAGTGGAAGAGGTGAAACCATTGAAATGTTTGTTATATAAAAATACAAAAATGGATATTGTACGCTGTTCCTACCAAAAGCGCTGCACCTTTCACACAGACACAGAACATACACACAATGTATATTCTGTGCACATTGACCATCTGATACTGTACAGTATTATGCTCCTATTTCAATATTGGAGTTTTATCACTGTCCATATTGTTGGATGTGGGGTTGTTTGTATTGTATTATCACAATTCCCCAGCATA